TTTCGTTCCAATATGGGCTTAAAAGATGCTTGGGGGAGCAGAGGCAAACATTGTCACAGAAAGAATGGGAAACAACCCTGCACGGTCCACGTGAGTCACCTGTGGAAAGGCTGGAGATCAAGGGCTGGGTGATAAGTGGGAACAAACACAGCAGCAGATGCCAAGGAAATGTGCTGGCAGCGTGCCAGAGCCTGTGTACCAGGAAGGGGACAGTGGAAATGATAACATGGCACGAGGGGGAAATCACCCATCCCACTGTCCTGGGGATGGAGATGGGCACAGGGACACCCCAGAAGTGCCAGCAGGGTGCTGCCCTCCACCCAGGGGCTATGGAGGGTGAGGGAAGGGGGACAAGAAAGCCCATAACAGCTGCTGACTCCAAACAGTGTGAGAACACCAGGTGTCTGTCCCCAGTGCTGGGGAACAGAGGTTCAGAGCCCCCCACCCTCCATGTCACACACAGCTGACCCTGTCCACAGAAACTGGGCACGTGGGACTGACTTGCAGTGTGTACAAGTGATCAAAACTGGTCACATCCTGAGTAAGACGCCCTTCCCTGGGGTCCTGAACTGGGTCAGGCTGGGCCATGGCCAGCGCTGCCCTTTGGTTGTGTCCCTGAGCACCAGAGCCCTGGGGATGCTGAGCCAGCCACAGGGACTAAGAGGATTGAGCCTGGGAGTGACTCGCAGGGAGCCCTTGGACAAGGGGAAGAGCCAGCCATGCCCAGAAGGGTGCCAGGCCCTCGAGGCAGTGGGACCCACTGGCCCCTCTGCTGGCCAGTGCTGGGAGGGGGCTCCCGGGGTACCCCATGGGCAACATCCACCCTCCTCCCCAGGGCTGTGGGGTTTTACCCCACGCTACCAGGCACCCCACTGCCTGCTCTCTCCTTCCACCACAGCTGGACTCTATTTGAAAGATTCTTTCCAACTTTGATGGTTCTATGATTCCGTTACAGCAACCCCTGGGCTCCCCAACGGGGTCCAACCCCGTGGCACTGGGGGCACCTCACACCTGGGCACAGAGAAATCACAGCTCCACTCACTCCAGCTCCCTGTGCCAGTGCTTTATTCCCTGCCAGCCCCCCCGGCACCCAGGCTGGGCTGGCCACAGGGTTTGGGTTTGGGTGCCAGCAGCAGCCTCAGCCCTCCCGGCTCTGGTTAAACACGAGGGGATGCCCAGGCAGGCTCTACCTCACCCTGCCCGCCCTAATGGCAGCACCATTCCCTGCAGAAAGAAAAAACAGCCAAATCTTCCCAACTTTGCCACGAAACAACCCCCATCCCAGGGCAGAGGCTGCCACAGGCTCAGCCCCGGCCTGTCCCAACAGGAGAGGCCAAACCCACCACGGGGGCGAGGAGGGCCCCGGCTCGGCACCAGCACCGAGGGCAATTTAGAAGCATCCCAACACCACAACCCACAGAGCGGGTGCCCAAAGCCCATCTTGGCCCCCAGCAAAGCTCAGGTGGGGAGAACAGAGCCGTTTCACGCCGAGCCGACGTGGCAGCACCAAGGCAGAGCAGCCTCAAGCCCTGCAGAGCCACGGCAGGCTCCGACCTGCCGAGCAGAGCCCACCTGGTCCAAGCCCCAAGCCAGGCTGCGGGCAGGCAGCGCTGATCCTGGCAGGGAAAACAGGGGCAGATCCAGGAAACAGGGGCTGGTGGGAGGCAAGTAGCAGCTCAGCCTGGATTTGGAGCGAAAAGGTGGTTGTAGGTGTGCCAGAGAGAGCAAATCCAGTTCCTCCTCCACCTCCGCGACGGAAGCCCGATCGGCAGCGGGAGGGGGCGGGGGGCAGCGTGTCCCCCCCGGTGCCCCCCGTGCAGGCTCAGGGGGAGGCCTGCAGCTTGCAGAGCCCGTCGGCGTACTGGAACTGGGCGCCGTTCTCGTACTCGTACATGTCCAGGGCCACCTGGCAGCTCTCGCGCACCACGCGCTCCCCGTCGCCGGCGAAGGCGCGCAGGGCGCGCAGGCAGGACGGCCGCGCGATGGCCCCCAGCGCCTCGGCGCACTCGTGCCGCACCATGGGGCTCTCGGAGGGGCTGCACAGCACGGCCGTGAGCTGAGGGACGCACGCCTCGTCCTGCAGCTGCCCCAGCACGTACCCGACCTCGTGGCGGAACAGCGCGCTGCCGCAGCGCAGCCCTGCGGAGAGGGGCAGGGAGAGGGGGCAGTGAGATGAGATGCCTCGATAGGAAGCTGGGGGATGCTGTGGGTCACCACCCCACCCCGTGGGAAGGGGTATCCTGCTCCTTGAGCCCAGCCTTGCTCTGATGCCCTCCCGTGATGGCAGCACCCACCCCCCCGGCAGAGCTGCCACCC